CCACACCGCTCCGTTGCCGGACGGCAGACCCACGAACTAGCCACGCGGGTTGTTGTGGATGTCCCCGTGTCCCCGCGGACCCACGAAGTAGACACGCGGGTTGTTGTGGATGTCCCCGTGTCCCGTCATGGCAGTTGTGGGGTGCTCCTTACCCATGTATGACTTCTTCTTTGCCGAGATTTGTAGCCATGAAAGTGTTCTCAGCCAAAATTGCCCTTTCCCCCTAAAAATACCGTCCATTTTGCAGCTGGGCTCATAGCCCCCGTAAATGCCGAAGCTCTGGGGAAGAAGATCCTTTCTGAGCGCTGAGCCTGGGGCTTCCACCTTGCTGATGCTCCAGGACCTTGGCATCCGCGCACAGAGGGCTTGGTCCCGGCTCCTCCCCTCCCGAGTGGACCAGCTCGGCCTGCGGCTGCTCCAGCGGGGTGTGCATGCTGCCCTGGCGCCTCCCGGGGATGTGTTTTTAGCTCCTGGGTGATCGTACCTCCCCTACCAAGTCAGAACGAGCAGATTTGGAAAGCTAGTGACCTGGGGTTCACTTCAGGGCTCCCCACCTCCTTCTTTCCAAAATCTTACATCCGTGCCGGAATGACACACTGGCGAGGCCAGGCCAATTAGGGAGACGTTCCGCATTTTGTTACACTTTTCCTGTGTAATTGGAAGTCCCGCTTTCTCCGGTGAGAAGTCGGTGGGAGCTGTTCTCCTGAATAGTTCTAAAAGCTTTGGACCACATACTGATATCAGCTGCATATTTATGGGTGAGATTATAATGATTGCTCAGTAATGCAATATTAAAAGCAGAGGTCTCTCTCACTGCTAAGCAAAGATGGAATTCCAACCTTCTTTCGGCTTCAAGAAGTGATTCGAAACAGAATTAGCAACCCTTGTCCTAGAAGCAGCAATCACTGGGCTCCCAATTCCTCCCCCTCCACATAGAGGGAGAATAAGGGAGTGAATTTAGCTGGAGTTCAGAAACTGCTCACTGGCTCCCAGCCCCGCGGACTGTTCCCTGGCTGTTTGCTCTTGCTGCGGCCCCCAGCGCTCAGCTGGCTGTAACGAGGACTTAAGGGAGCACAAGGCTGTTAACCACTTGTGTGTGTGTGTGCATTTGCTTCATTAGTTCTAGAAACGGAGGCTTCCGTGGCCATAGTTTTCCTGTATAATTTAAGGGATTAGTGAAACCTTGCCTGATTTACGCTATACACTGTAAATTTGTTTAGTTGTTTTTTTTAAATTGTCAGTGAAGGCTGTTGGAACCTAAATATTTTAATATTGAAGAAACATGGGCACTCTTTTTTAAATAGAATTATTTTATTTAACTTTATTTCATGTATTTTAATTTGACCAGAGAAGGACAGAGTACGAAAGAGAGGGCAAGGGAAAGTGAGAAAGTAAGCTGCCTGGTCCAGGATTCGAACCACAGTCAGCCACGTGGGAGTTCAATGCCCTTAACCACCAGGCCACCTGCCGGCCCCAAGGCTACTCTCTTTTTGTTTTTAAAGGAAGACATCTCTGGCTGTCACTGTGGTTTGGGCTAGCAGTGACCTTTAGTCTGAGCTCACCCATGTTAGTCCACCCTCTGACCTCAGAGCACCCAACCTCCCATAATGACTGGAGGGCTCCTTCCAGAGCTGATGTCAGAACTTCAGCTTCAACTCGGGTTGCCAGACCTCTTCACTGCAAGAGGGAGACTGGAAGCAATGGCTGCTTTATTTCCCACCTCTAAAGCTCACTGTACTTTACTAATTTATATGGACATCAAGCCTAATGCATTACATTGTGTGTGTGTGCGTGTACAACCCTAGACTCATGGGACTTGAAAGGACTTTAGAAATTGTTTAATGTGAGCATTGCTGAGGGACATGAAATAAAAAACTTAAGCAAATGGGGAGCTGCTGCGTTAACTCGATACTGTATAAGTGGCAATTCTTCATGAATTAATCGACACGTTTACTGTCATTCCAGAGTCCCAGCAGCACTTCTGTTTTGGAACTTGACAAAATATTTTTGATGTTTACCTGGAAGAATAAATTTTTGAAAAAGAAAGGAGAACATATTCTTTTAGATACAACAATAAAAACAATAAATTATAAACCAATAATAATTTAAACCGTTAAATAAAAATAACTTAATGATCTCCAGGCAGAAAGAAGCCAAAGTCAACACCCTATCAGCATTACACGGTGGTAAAAGCAGCTCTGAGGGGAGTGGACAGGCTGTTTCCTAGACGAGGCTGGGGCGGTGGGCAAGCCACACAGAGACAGGCTGGAGCGGGGCTCACGTCATTGGCAAAAGGAAAGGTGGCTTTAGGAAATACTCCTACAGGGACCAGCAGTTAGCATAATGGCTATGTCACTGGACTCTCATCTAGCTGACTGCGGTTCAAGTCCTGGACCTGGTGACTTAAACTCTTGCTGGGCACGTGTGCATACGTGCCCAGGATCCCGAGAGGAGAATGGAGGAGAAGGGATTGTGGCGTGGCCATCCCCCCAGGGGGTGATTTCTTGCTTTCTGTCTCTCTGTCTCTCTCTGTCTTTCTGGTGAGCGCACACGCCCGATAGTGAAAACCTCTCCAAAAAAAAAAAGAAAAAAAAAAAAGAAATACTCCTACAAAGAGCAAAAACATACAGCAGCGTAATTTAAGTGCGAGTGAATAATAGTAATCAGATTTTTCGGTGAGAAAGGACTTTTTATGTATCCATATGTTCCCAAAGAGGAAAGCAGCCATCGATTTAACCACACACTGGTATGTCAAAAGCAACACCACATGCAAAATTAAAATCTCACAGATGCTGAGAAGCATTGACAACATTGGCTGCATTAAAGTGTTTGTGGTAGTGTTTGCCAAAGTGGCTTCATGTTCTTAATATATAAAGAGCTCTTGTAAATAAAGAAAAGGAATGAACCCCAAGGAGAAAGTGGGTGGATGACGTGAATAGACATCTGGAAAAATAGAAAGTACATACAATCTGTAAATATACGGGAAAAAGCTGTTGTGCCTCATTAGTGATCAAGGAAACAAATAAAGCAGCAGCGGTCTACCGCAGTTTGCTGGGCAGATACCCCCCCATAATGCTCAACCTCGTCAGAGACAGGGACGCCGGGGCGCCGCCGCTGTGCTCCGACACTGGTGGGCACTTTGTAGGGACGTGACAAAATGTGTCGAAAGCCATGAAAGTAGCTGTTGACTTTTAGGGATTTACCTTGAGGCTATTCTGTAGTCCTCAAATGCATAAACAGCATTTTTAAATGACGGTGGAAAACCGGAATGAGAGCACATGAACAGCAGCGTGGGGTCAGTGAACGTTCGTCAGATCAGCTCACACAGTGCCAGGCAGCAAGGGAACTTTTGGAAGAGGAGTGTGACGGGACACGGACAGTGTTCACGAGGTGTTCTTGCTGTGTGGAAAGAGCACGGCTTCACACAGGGGCACACACGGTGGGGTTCCTCCCAGCGCCCCGCCCAGGAGAAAGGGCGTGTGCAAGTGCTGTCTGGGAGGAGGCACAGCAGGCATCGGCTGTGGCTTTGTGTGGGCCGTGAAGTTCCAGTGACTTGTGTTATTATTTCAGCTCTTAGGTATTTCCCGGCGAGTGTTCAGCGCTCATGTGTGACTTTCACGAGTGGCCTGAGGGCGTTAAAATCAGTCTGGGGCCAGGCAGTGGCTGAGTGGCGATGCTACTGGACCTGCATGGGAAACGTCCTGGGTTTGCACCCCCGGGTCTCTCTGAGCACCTCAGGCATGCGTGCATGTGCCCATGATCTGGGCTGACTGGGCTGGGGGTGGATCGTGGTGTGAAAACCCTGTTGGGGCTGAGTCTCGCTCTGTTTCTTTCTCTCGTGGGAGAAATAAGTAAACGTCAAAAAATTAAGAATAAATGTTCTAAATCAATTCCCTATCCTTACCAAGAAGGGGCTGAAGTCTGAGGGATTTCAGCATTGTAACAAGTCAGCTAGAGTGAAAACTGAAGCCAGGTCTCCTAAGCTTCATTCAGGATTCGTTCTCAAGAAAAATGCCTTTTGTTTTGATCCCAGTGATTGCACGTCCCAGGGAGCCTACATCAGAAGTTCTCTTTATGAATAGTTAAAAATGTGGAGGGCTGGCAGGTGGCATGGTGGTTAAGGTGCTGGACTCCCACATGGCCGACGGTCATTCAAGTCCTAGATCTGGTGGCTTGCTTTCCCACTTTCCCTCTCTGTCTCTCTCTGCTGAGCCTATACCCCCTATAGCAAATTAATAATAATAGTAGTAGTAATAATAATATAATTACTTCTAGAAAAGTGTGGGAAGAGCTACGTACACAGGGATGTTGGTCAGTGTTGTAGATGACAGTGAACGTCCGCAGCGAAGTGTGCAGCCATGGATGCGCTTCAGGGCTGTGCACACTTCCTAGGTGGGATGTCACACAACCATTGAAAAGAGCAGCAACGAAGAATTGCACCAACAGGAGAAAATGCCTGTGGCAGCTCTTAACGTGGTGGAAAATATCAGGACATAAAATATGTACGTTATGATTATAACCGTACACATGAGATTTCAAAGGGAATATAGTAGGGAGAGTCATTGTTAAGGATGGTCGATGCAGGGACCAGCAGATGGCAGATGGCCTAATGGCCACACCACTGGACTCCCACGTGGTTGACCATGACTTGAGTCCTGGACCTGAGGCTTAAACTCACACCAGGTACATGTGCATGTGCCTGCGTGCCCAAGATCCCGAGAGGAGAATGGAGGAGAAGGGACTGTGGCGTGGCCATCCCCCCTGGGGGGGTGACTTCTCGCTTTCTGTCTCTGTCTCTCTGGTGAGTGCATATGCCTATAGCAACATCTCTCAAAAAGGAAAAAAAAAAAAGAAGTATGATGCAGTTATCAGGTGCATTTATTTTCTTTTGTCTTAAAAGTCCCCATCTTTCTATAACGCTGTTACTCTTCCTTTAAAAAGCAATTCCCCAAGTCTGAGTGCAGAGCTAGGTGAGCCTCTCTCCCTGCCTCCCTGTCTAGGGCTGGATCCTGGACGGCATCCCCGAGACTCGGGAGCAGGCGCTGATGATCCAGACCCTGGGGATCGCCCCCAGGCACGTCAGTGAGTAGCTCCCCCAGACTGCCCACATGCGTGCCCACCCTCAGCCCAGTCACCATCCAAGACGGCTCTAGTGGGCCATGACCCAGCGAGAAAAAGCAAGACAGTACAGTTGAATTTTTCACAAAGCCGAACGTATTCAGGGCTTGCTCTGGAGAAAAGTGGGGTTTTGTTTTCACCCAGGCGACGCCTTGTCCCAGGCACCCCGTCCCTGAGTGGCCCTCTGTTGGACATCACCTGAAACGTGGCAAAGGGCACATAGGTGTCCATTCTGGTGTCGTTTATGGTGGCAGAGAGTGTCAGCAGTGGGTGATCAGCCACAGGCTGTCCTTGGCCCCAGGACAATGCTCTTAGAGTCTTGGTGCTGAGAAGACCCTTCTTTTAGAAATTCACTGTGAGGTGGCTGTTGCTTTAAAGTTAAGACACAGCCAAAAAAAAAAAAAAAAACATGAAATGAATGATTAGTCCTTGAGAGTCTAGCGTGTGGCCCGAGCCGGCCAGCCTGGTTTGCTCTGTTTCTTCTCTGCCTAGTCGTGCTGAGTGCTCCAGACACGGTCCTGATCGAGAGAAACATGGGGAAGAGAATCGACCCTCAGACCGGAGGTATGACATGTCCCCCTCCCCCTTCTCACCCCAAGGACCTCCGGGATGATGGCAGTTACAGCCTCACTGGCCATCCCTGCTTCCCATTCTTGCCCTGGGCACCTGCAGAGGGCACGCAAGAGGCCGTGTAGGCAGTGGCTCGGAGGCCGGAGCTGTGCTCTGAGCTGGAGGACACTGGGGAGTAATGGGCTCCAGCAGGAGCAGACACGAAGGCCAGTCTAGGTTAAAGGAGGAGCCCGGTTCGCGGCAGGACCAGACCGGAGTGTGGCTGTAACTCGGGCGCGGGCTTGGAGCCTGCTCTGCACAAGCTTGTTCCCAACTCAGGGCCACACATGGCAGCCAGGGGGTGTTTCTCTGTTTCCCCAAGACAGACTGTGAGCCCCACACTTGGCCATGGGTACAGAAGGCTGAGGTGTGGGCATTGTCTGGGAGGATGGCAAGGGCTTCAAGGGGCTGGGGCTTAAAAACCAGCTTATCAGGGGATCAGGGAGGAGGGTCCAGGGAGTGCCCTTGCCCTCCCGGGCTTGGACATGACCAGCTGACAGACCTGGGTGGATTCCAACCACGCACCTCTCTCCTCACAGAGATTTATCACACCACCTTTGACTGGCCCCCTGAAATGGAAATCCAGAACCGTCTGATGGTGCCAGAGGGCATCTCGGAGCTGGAGACAGCTCGGAAACTGCTGGAGTACCACAGGAACATCGTCAGGATCCTCCCCGCCTACCCCAAGATCCTCAAAGTCATCAGTGCTGACCAGCCATGCGTGGACGTCTTCTACCAGGGTAAGTGCCAGTGGGCAGTGTCGCCCTGGACAGCCACCCCAGGCCTCAGTGCAACATGCACTTCGGCCTGTCTCAGCCCAGCCTCCCTCAGGCCAGCAGCAGCCAATGTCCAGGACCCTGGAAGTCGGGTCTCAGGGCCCCGGTTCCCTTCCCAGAAACATGCATGGGGTCGTGGGAACAACCCTTCCAGAGATGTGCTACACACAGGTGTCCTCCACGCAGGTGCTGTTGCATTTCCAGCCCACAGCAGATGTGACAATGACGGGACTGGAGGAGGACAGGCCAGGGGTGTGGGAGGCGCACAGTAGCGTGAAGGTCGGACCCGACCTTGAAGGAGAAGGAAGAGAAAATGTGTACAAATTAAGACTAACACAAAATCACCACCACAGAAAGCACAGAATCCACGACCCACACGAGTGTCATGAGCCCTTTAGAGCAGGGCCAGCAGCCAGGCCCGGCACACACCGCTGTCCTGCAGTTACCGCAGCACGGCGACTTCCAGAACCAGCCGAAGCAGCCACACAAGATGGGGAGGCGTGCGGGACTCGGAGCCAGTGGTCGGGGTTCACGCCTAGCCTTTGTGCATGAGCAGTGCGGTCTTCAGCAGCTGCCTTAAGTTCACTGAGCCTATCTTGTCATCCCTAAAATGTGAGCAAGACTGCACCTTCCTCCAGGTGGAGGTGAAGGTTGGATCGATTCCCCAAATGCCGCAGCCGCAGCCGTGAGCCCGGCAGCTGGTGCTCAGGACGGTCAAGCAACGCCACATGTGACCACGGCTGTCATTCAGCATCCTGTCCCAAAGGCCAGGGAAGGGCGAGTGACTCCACCCTGCAGTAGCTCTGCTCTAGTGTAAGCCTCACGGGGCTCCGTTGTCTCAGCGTCCAGTTACCTCGCCCACGCAGTGCTAGCACAGGAAGCGCGGTCTGTTTGGACACAGTAAGTTACACTGAAGATCTCTAAGATGCTCAACAGTCTTCAAAGTCCTTCTGTCACAGATTCTTTCAGATCTCGTCAAGAAAAGTTCTTACTGATGGGGAGGTGGTCCAGAGCTCCCTCAACCCCTGCCCGCTAACTGGCCAGCCCCCTCTTACACTGGTAGACCTGACGCGTGCACAGCTTCCCTCCGCAGAGAGCGGAGATGCGGGCTGCCTGGGTGGCGTCGGTGCCTCAGCATTCTTCTCTGCCTCAACTAATGAGTGCGCGTCCAGAAACTCATGCTGCTTTTAAAAATGCCAGGCTTGCAACGGCTTAGCATGTTCCAGTGGTTTTGCATCTCGAAAGGGTCTTTAGTAGCAAACACTACGCTCTTAAGATAAACAACTGCAACATTTATCTTATACCATGATTCTGAATTTACACATTAATTACTTCCAAATTACTTAATTAAATTTAAAAGTTCATATGATCATTCATAAAGAATTCATGCTTGGAATTGTAAATAAAAATGTGAGTGTCTGAATATTAATTATTATTAATTAATAATGCAGAGAGATAAATTGAAAATTGGAATGCAAAATTCTCTCTGTGTTGTTTTTTTAATCTCTCTGCAGTGCTTCCTGCAACCACATATTTTTAAAAAGAATAATTAGATGTTGAGATTGTCTAGGGGATCATTACTTCTAATTAACTTAGTTACTTACTGTAAATTAAGCATCATTTGTAAGCAGGCTGCTTTGCCGGTAGTGCTTGCGCTTTTCAGATGCACTGGGTTATGGGCCGTGTGAGAAGAGGGAGCCCTGCTGGAGGGGCTTCCTTCAAGCTTCTCTCAGGGAGGGACAGCGTGGCAGCAGGTTTGGGAGTGTTGCCCAACTCCGCCATCCCCTGAGCCCAGCAGACTTTTCTGTAAAATGGGACGAGAACAGCACATCCCTCACAGAGCTGTTGGGCCTATGGGATGACTAAATGCCAATGGAGTGTTCAGTTTGGCAATGAATATGCACCAGCAGCGGTAAGCACCCCGGCCTCGAAGACCGTCAGAGGTGGCTGACCTGTGCCTTAGCTGTAGCGAGAGGAGATAGGAGAATCTCTAGTGATCCTTCCCTTTTAAAAAGCTCCTGTGAAGATTCCGGAGTTTGAAAGTTGCACAATAGGCATGTGCGGTGGCCCTCCACGGGCAGCAGCTTTGCCCTGGGACCTGCAACCGTGTCTGAAACCTTGCTTGGCACTCAAACTTGGGGCTGTGCTACTGACCTGGTAGAGGCTGGGTTGACTCTCTCCCTCCCACTTTGCAGAGGGCAGACCCTACAACAGAATCATCTGGCCCCAGTGTCAGTGCCGAGGCTGGCCCGGCCTCTGTGGCACAGTCTGTAGGTACCAGACGGCGGAGGTGGAAACCACATGCTGACTGCAGTTCGAGTCTCCAGTCAGCCTGAAAACACACCAGGTGTGCACGCATGTGCCCAAGATCCTGGTGGGCTGGAGGACTGGAGGAGGATCGCAGGTGGCTGAGCCCTGCAGAGGACGCCCCTCCTCTCTCTCACCCCTCCTCTCTCTTTCTTTCCCTTCCTCTCTCTTGCTCGGTCTCTCATGTGTGTGCACATGTACTCTATCATGAATTTTAAAAGAAAGAAAGAAGAAAGCAAGGAAGGAAGGAAGGCAGGAAGGCAGGCAGGCAGAAAGATGAGAAACGCCTTAGTGCTGAGGCGGAAGGACCGGGCTGTACCCGCGAACTATTTTGGGATAGCCACATTCTGGAAGGAGGCGTATCAGCTCGCCTTTGCCAGGACAGAGCCCCCTGGATGCAGGAGGGCAAAGGCAGATTGGCAGAAAGGTGTAACAGGGCCAGCCATAGCTGACCTTGCACAGGCTGGCCTGGGGCCTCAGCAGCAGGCGACGCCTGCAGAGGACCCTGTTTCGCAGGTCAGCTTGGGCCTGGTACCGTCCCGTGGCCTCCTGGTGGGCAGCCACTCTGGCCCAGGTGCCCAAAATGCTGCCCTTCTTCAGCCACGTCAGCTTGCTCTCCTGGTGCCCCTCAACTTTGCTCAGTGGGAGGTGACCTGCTTAGATGCTCAGAAGCTTTTCCCTGTGACTTTTGACACCAATGTTCCCATTGTGTGGGTCGCCTGGTTGTTGTAGATGCTCACTCTGACGCTGCTGCTTAGTTCATCAAATGCCAGGGGCACTGCAGGCCAGGGCTGTGCTGCCCCACCTGCCCACCCTGTGACCCATTTGATCAGTGCCTCTTTGGAGACTCGAAACAAAGTGTCACCACAATGTGGCTGCACAGACTATTCTCAGCCAACTCCTGAGTCCTTCAGAAGTCGGGCCCCGCATGACCTCATGCATTCATCAAAGCCCGTGCGTGATGCTGGAGCACCCAGCAAAAAGCACGGGCGTCTTCCAGGAGACCCCCACCCGCAGCTTCAGGACGGAGGCTTGGCTGGATTCAATTTGGAAACTCCCGACTCAGCAGCGCATGTTCGGAGGCCCAGGTCCAGCCCCTCAACTGTGACAGCCCACCCGGTTCAACCAGGAGGTGAAGGAGCCGACGTTGAGCGTTAAGAGGGCTTCCAGGGCAGCACGGGGGCAGGGTGTGTGTGTGTGTGTGTGTGTGTGTGTGTGTGTGTGTGCTTCTGGAGCTTTCACTGCCCCCTCCCCACCTTAGTGCCCAGGCCCCATAGTGATTCCTTCCCTACAGCTGCCATTGGCCGCTTGGCAGGTGCACAGAGGGTTTCCGTGGAGCCGATAGTTACTGCCCTTGGCAGAACCTGAGCAGAGATGCTCTAAGCTGGAGTCGCCTTCCAGGGCCCGGGTGTATTATCCTCCTGTCCTCTCTTCCCAGCTCTGACCTACGTCCAAACCAACCACCGATCGAACGCCCCGTTCACCCCGAGGGTGCTGCTGTGCGGGCCTGTGGGCAGCGGCAAAAGTCTGCAGGCCGCCCTCCTGGCTCAGAAATACGGCCTTGTCAATGGTGAGTGCCCGCAAGTGGCCCTGCTTCTAGAACCTCTCCCGCCTCCCCTCCCAGCCTTCTGAGTTTGGGGAAGAGAGGGAAGGAAGGATCGCTGTCACCTCTCTCTTGCTCTCTGCTCTTAACAATTTTCAAAGCTGGTCTATGAAAGATCAGATTCTTTTCCTCCTGAAGAATACTGTCTTAGAAACGTTAACCAATAAAAACATTCTGCAGCTCGAAGAGCCAGCACACTTTCTAGTCACCGTTTTTATGCCCTTCGGAGCAGTGGGTTTTCTGTGCTGCTCGCCAGAGGTGCTTCTGACTCACGCCTGCAGTCTCCCCCAAGCTTTGGCCCTTGCGTAATACGGATCTGCTGTTTATTTATTTTCTCCCGTCTTACTTAGCTCCCCAACCCAGGTCAGTGTGTTTACAGGCAATCCGTTTCTGAACCAGAGGAAGACGTCTCGCTCTGCACAGTTTCAATAAATATTTTACCAGGAGGAGAGAAAATATTGAAATCAGCTCTCCGGGTCTTTCCCGGGGCAGTCCCAGGCGGCCTTGGATGCCAGCCCCTGTTCCGGGGGATAAAGAGCTGGGAAGGAGGAAGACACAGAAGCAGGTAGCCAGTGCTGGGCTGGCGGGAGTTAAAGGCACCCCGTGCTCCAAAAGCCTAAATAACATCTACTGTTTACTAAGGAGACACGAGACTGTACCCCCAAATGTATCGATAGGCATATACATACACTCCCCAAATTATACATACACACCATAGGAACATAAATAGAATACATATATACACACCCATATGTGTGTGTATGTGTGTGTATGTGTGTGTATGTATGTGTGTGTATGTGTGTATGTATGTGTGTGTATGTGTGTATGTATGTGTGTGTGTGTATGTGTGTGTGTAAAATCACCCTGGAAGGATCAAGTTTCTAATAAAAATGTTTTTAATGAAGTCTTCTCCCTCTTAAAATTCCAGCGCCACAGGGGCTAGCCAGGAATCAATGACAGAAATCATACCGATAAAATGAGAATAGGGAATTGAGCAATTATTCTGCAAGTTCGATGAGGTAATTAATTAATTGGGACACTTTAGATTAAAAAAAAATGCATCGATTTTTAGAAACAGAATTAGTTAAATAATCCCTTGCTTTTCGACTTTACATCTCGGAGTATTAAAAGGCGAAATTTCAGGCAGGCGAAGGATGACTTTCGTGTGGAGCACCGTGGCGTCCACCCGTGGCCGCAGCCCAGCCTGTGTCTGCGCTCATTCTGTGGAGGGAGTCAGGAGTCACAGTGGAGGGCCGGTTGCAGGCAGCCAGGGAGGATCTGAAACGCAGCAGTACTATCTTACAACGGCACGCGGCTGTGTTTAAATACGTGTCTCTGTGCCATAATTAGTTTATGCAGACGCTCTCATTCAGAAAAAGGATTGTTTTAATTGAAATAGCTTTCAGCGCGCCAGTCATGAAGAGATGAAATTACCTGCCTAGATTTTCCCAACAAATGAAAACTGCGAAGCTCCCCGGTGTTTTCTTGCGGTGCAAGAGCCCTCGTGGGGCCCCTTAGATAACCGGGGCTCCTTAGATAGCCCAGCATTCGGAGGCCAGCCCAGAACGCCCACGTCCCTGAAAGGTGCTCTGGGTGAAGATGGGACTGAGTAAACCGAGTCGAGGGGCCCAGGAGGACCATGCAGTCTGGGCAGCCGCGTCTCTGCCGAGGCCTGGGCCCTGAGCTCCGCAGTCCTCTCACTTGGTCCTAACCTCCATGTTTCTGAGTCCCCTCTAAGTCCCCTGGAAACCGTCTCCAACCCCAGCCCAACATGGCTCCACAGCTTACCAAGGCTCCCACACAAAGCAGGCGGGAGTATAAAGGAGCACAACTTTTTGAACGGTAAACATCGAGCTCCATTAGCGTGCTAACTAAGCAAATCCTTTGACCCAGTGATTTCACTCCTAAGATTTTTTTCAATTTTAGAATTATTTAACTTTATTTATTTATTTATTATTATTTTTTTTTTAATTTGACCAGAGAGAGACAGAGTGTGAAAGAGAAAGAGAGAGAGAGGGAAAATGAGAAAGCAAGCGCCAGGTCTGGAACTCGAACCATGGTTGACTATGTAGGAGTCTGGCACCCCAATCACCATGCTCCTAGGATTTTATTCCCCTGAAACACTAGCTCAGTGGAGGACTGAGGGGAGGCACATTATGCAAATAGAGGCTGCTCCAAGCTCTGCATGTCAGAGGGCTGCTCCAGTGAGCTGTGGTGAGTCCTGGAGTACTAGTTAAGCCAGCTGTGGTGAGCCAGCGTCATGGGTACTAGTTAACAGAGCTGTGGTAAGTCCACATCGTGTGGTACTAGTTAACAGAGCTGTGGTAAGTCCACATCGTGGGGTACTAGTTAACAGAGCTGTGGTTAAGTCCATGTAATGGAGTAGAGTGAAAATAAAAGAGACATTGCCAATCTTATATATATGCATCTATCTATACATAAAAAAAAACTAGTGGAGCAAAACTTGAAGGTATGTGGCCGAATGGGTGTTCTCTGCTGGAAACGCTGAGTGTGGTTATCTTGATCCGATCATCACGTGCCGCACGCATGCTTTGGAAATCCGCATTGTGGCCCACCCAGTGTACACCGACGAGCTGGAAATAAGAAATTATAAAACAGAATGCCGTTATCATCATTTATTAGGCCGTCACTAACAGCACTGCTCGCTACCGCTAGTCGTAATGCCCAGTCGTAACCGGTAAGGGTGCCCAGGCTCGGCGCTGCGCCTGTGAGTGCCGCACTATGCAGAGCCGGGTACCGCTGCGCGGGTGCGGTCAATGTGGCGCACAGAGGAGAGGAGCTTAAGGGTCCAGGCGAGACCCGCGGGCTGGGGACAGGGCAGGAGTCACCCGGCAGGGCTGGCTAAGCCCACTCTGGGCCCAGAGCCTCGCTCCCTCCCACTTCCCCTTCTTTCTTTCGGAATGCCTCAGCAAACCCCACAGCTGCCTTGTTTGAATGTCCTGACCATGGTGTAGTGGTTCTCTTTCCAGACTGAGTCTTCAGGGAGAGGAGTGTTACCTTCACAGGATGAGGAGGCCGTAGGCGGAGTTGTTAACTGCTCCTCCTGCCTTAGCACTTGAAGTCACTGCATCCTGTTTTATTTTCCCTTTTCTTTTTTTACTGCCAGAGAGCACATGGACTTCTGAAAGAGACAGAGATAGACAGGTGGGGACAGAGAAAGCACTCCCAGTGGGGCGTGGTCATGCCACAGTCCTCTCACCCCCTCTCCCCACCCGCTCAGGACTTGGGGTGCACATGCACTCACCATGTTTTTCAAGCCACAGGGGCCAGGATTTGAACCGTGGCTCCCTGTTCAAGGGCTGACCAGCTGTGCTGTGGGGCTGTCCCTGTATCCCATTTTAATATTTTGGGCTCTCATTATCATTTAATTAAAAATATTTTCCAATTTTCCTTGTAGTCTTGTCTTGTCTTTCCCTTCCCTTCCCTTCCCTCCCTTCCTTCCTTCCTTCCTTCCTTCCTTCCTTCCTCTCACTCTCTCTCTCCTCTTTCTTTCTCTTCTTTTTCTTTCTTCTTTTTCTATCCATGTATTATTTAGAAGTGCATTACTTAATTTCCAAATATTTGGTGATTTTCCAGCTTAGTTTTTGTTACGCTTTCTAACTTCATTCCATCGTGGTCGAACAACGCCCACTGTGCGGTTGTGAGCCTGACGCTTACTCATGCCCTGACGGCTGGCATACAGCCTGTGTTGGTGAGTTCCTGTGTGCTCTCGCAGATCTGTTCTGCACCACGGGTTTAGTGCCTTATAAATGTCAATTAGGATGCAATTTTTACATTTTTGTTTTATTTATTATTATTTTTTATCTTTAAGTTTGCTATAGGGCATGTATGCTCATGAGAGAGAGAGAGAGAAAGGGAAAGTGATAAAGTTAGCTACCAGATCCAGGACGCAAACCGTGGTCAGCCCAGGGAGTCCAGTGCCTTAGCCACCATACCACCCGCTGGCCCCCAGGATGGAGATATTTGATAGTGTCATTCAAATCTTCTGTGTCCTTCGTGGATTTCTATTCATTATTGCAGTTACTGAGAGACGTGTTCAAATCTCCAACTCTGATTGTAGATTTGCCTATTTCGTAAAGCACTTTCGCTTCATGCGATTTGTTCGTAAGTACATGTGAGCTGAGGATTATTTGCTCTCCTTGATGAAATGACCTTTCTATTGTTAGGAACCACCCCTCTGCCTCTCTAATAATAGAGAAGAAGTTACATATGCGACCTTGTATATTGGCTGGGTCTTGCTATTTTTTAAAGACTCTAGTCAACATTGATGCATTTAGTCCATTTCCAGTTAGTTATTTTTACATAGGCGCATGTCTATCATTTTGATTTGTTTTCATTTTTAATTTCTATAGTTGGATCTTTTTTTTTTTTCTTTTTTAGAGGTTTTTGCTATAAGGCGCGTGTGCTCGCCAGACAGACAGACAGAGACAGAGAGACAGAGAGACAGAAAGCAAGAAATCACCCTCCAGGGGGGATGGCCACGCCGCAATCCGTTCTCCTCCATTCTCCTCTCGGGATCTTAGGCATGCACGCACACGCACCCGGCGTGAGTTTTAAGACACCGGGTCTGGGACACGAACCGCGGTCAACTACGTGGGAGTCCAGTGACATAGCCATTATGCTAACTGCTGGTCCCTATAGTTGAAGAAAAGTTCCCCCTTTCATGTCATCTTTTAGATTAAGCAAACATTGGTTAATAATTCACTTTATTTCCTCTATTGCCTCCCTGCTTTATTTTGTCGATGGTCGCTGCAGAGATTGTGTGTACCTGTCACTTGTCACAGTCTGTGCTGAATCCACCTTACCCTCTGTGTATCAGAAGCTTACAGTGGGTATCTTCCCATTGGCCTGCTCCCGGCGTGTGCTAGTGTCGTACGTCCCTGCTGCACACGTTGTGAACCCTGCAGTGTACCAGTTACTTTTGCTTTGAACAGTCAGTTATCTCGTGAAGAAGTTAAGAAGTACGCTGAGAGGCAGCAGGTGGGGCTGTGATTAGGGCACTGGACCCTGCATGTCTAAGCACACAGTTTGAGTCCTAGACCCAGTGGCTTGAAAAACACACCAGGCTCATCTGAGTGTGCGCCCCAAATCCTAAGAGAAGGAGGGGAAGGGATGTGTTTACTCACCCCTCCGGGGGCTGATTTCTCACTCCCTCACCCCAGTCTCTCTTTGGTGAGTGCATGCATCCTATAGGAATAAAAAGAAAGCATGGGAAGGAAGGAAGGAAGGAAGGAAGGGACGGAGGGAGGGAGGGAGGGAGGAAGGAAGGAGGGAGGAAAGACAGGAAGGCTTTCATATGTACCTGCCTAAAGCTCTTTGGCTTAGATCAAGTTTCCATCAGGTGTCAATTTCTTTCAGTCTAAAGAACTCCCTTTAACATTCCTTGTAGTGAAAGTCTGCCGGTAACAAATTCTTTCAGCTTTAATAATGTCTAAAAATGTCATTATTTTTTAAGGATTTTTTTACTGCATTTAGAAATCTATGTTGACAATTTAAAAAAAAATTTTTTTTAATTTTCTCCCTTTTAGCACTTTAAAGATGTCCTTCCATTGTCCTCTGGCTGGCATTCTTTTCTGATGAGATGTCAGAAATTATTTGTACTATTATTGCCCTGTATACGAAGTATACCCACGCCTGCAGCTACTTTTAATATTTCCTCTTTACTTCTAGCTTTTAGCAGTTTGACTAGATGTATCCTGGTACTGCTTTCTTTGTGCTATTCTGCTTGGGTCTCGGGATTCTTGGGTGTGCAAGTTGATATTTTTCATCGATGTTTGAAATTCTCTTGCTACTGTGTTTTCAAGGCTTTTCCATGGCTCTCTCTCTCTCTTCCTCCTGTGCTCCCTCTACTTCTCCATTTCTTTATCCCTCTCTTCGTCCTCTCATTTTCTCTTTCTGAGCCTCGTTACATGGCAGACTACTTCATTTGTCACCCGTGTCCCTGAGAGTCTGCTCTCCCCCCGCCCCCACGCTCTTTGCCTCAGTCTGAGTACTCCCATTGACCGCGGCCAGGTTCACTGCCATGGCCATTCCAGTGATTTTTAAATTAACATACTATATTTTCCAGTTCTAGAATTTTCGTCAGGTTCTTTTTCGGTGTTCATTTCTCTGCTGAGGTCCCCCACCTGTTCACTCATTTGAACTATGTTTCATTAAAGCTCTTAAGTCTATTTATAATGGTGTTATAAAGTCCCCATGTGCTAATTCTGACACCTGTGTCATCTCTTGTGATTTTCTCTCCTGGAAGAGGTCACATCGTGCTGCCTTTTTGTGTATTGAGTGGTTTTGATTATATATCAGACACTGTGTTTTTCACACTGTTAGAATCTGGGTTGTGGGGCCAGCAGATGGCACAGCGGTTATGTTGCTAGATTCCCCCATGATGACAGTTTGAGCCCTGGGCCCAGTGGCTGCGAGTGCGTGCGTGCCCAAGATCCCGGGAGGAGAATGGAATAGAAGGAATTAGCAGCGCGACCATTCCCCCAGGGGGTGGTTTCTCACTTTCCCTCTCACCGTCTCCGTCTCTTTCTCTCTCTTCAGTGAGCACACTCACCCTAAGGCAAAAGCCTCTAAAAAAGAAAAAAAGGAACCTAGATTGTGTCATTCTGCTTCATGAAGATTGAGTTTAAGAGTTAAGTTCTAACTGGCAGTTAATTTATTGGAGGGATTTGATCCCACTGAAACTTACTTTAGGATTTGTGGAGGTGAGACTAGAGTGTTTTTTTTTTTTTTTTTGGAGAGGTTTTCGCTATAGGGCGCGTGCGCTCGCCAGACAGACAGAGAGAGACAGAGAGACAGAAAG